TTTATTTTTTGCTTCATTGTTTTGTTTTGGTTTATTTTGAAATGTCATTTTTTAATCTCAGAATTTGAACTATTAGTAAACACTAGACAAATTATCTTCCACACAAATAATTATAAAAGATATATTATTTTTTTACTAATACTTACACATAACGTAGTTGTACATCTCAAGCACAAATCATCCCTGCTTAAACTTGCAAGTCTATCAGCAAAAAAACCAAACAAGCTATTTTCTTTATCTCTTAACTGTGTGAGGATGAACTTTCCGGCCAGCAAAGGATGGAGGTATGTTACTGATCATTTGTGCACCGGTTTTCTGGTGTCTACTTTCTAACTCAATACATATTGGAACTCAAGCAATCCATTCATCGCTCGAGTCTTGGCTCGTAAAAAGGTCTGAAACTTCCTATGCCTTTTTCTTATTTTGTAAAAATATGAATCATTGTCATCGTCTTCAGCTAACAGTGGTTCTTCATCAAAATCCCTTGAATTCTACCATACATTGCCTGCGAATTGTTGATCCAAATTTCTGATGTCGACACTGCTTCTTAACTTTACCGGACTTTATGTATGTTGCTTCTTTTGCCTTTCTTTTTCACGCTTCTATTTTGTTTCAGCATCAACATCATCACTAGAATGTTCCCCATCACGTCTTAATTACGTTTTTATCTTCTCTTGGTGCTCAACCACACGGCTACAACGTTGATGTATTTGTTAAATGTGTCATTTCAATGTTGATCTCGTTGCAACGTAGGCAAATGTAAGTACTATGCTTGCTTTACTAGTTAATTTACCTGTTTAGTTGAATCTACATCATGTGGAAGACACATAATTGACTTAACTTTCGCTCAAACTTCAGTTTTATTATAGACAATCTCATTCATATGCAACGACAAATAAAATTTTTTCAATTTTCTTGCAAAAAACACCGATTTCTTGTGGATTTTCTCTTCGAAAAAAGCAGCAGCTTGATTCTTGCCCCGCGAGAGAATATTAAAACACTACACACGCGTGTCTAGAATAAAATGTCGCGTGTCTGGTATAAAATCTTGACTTCATTTAGTTGCTTCAATTTCCATTTCGCTTGCTTAGTTCAATGTTGCAAATAAAAATATATATAAACATCATTTTCTTCATTTTAAGTTAAATATGCTATTTTTGTAAATAAAACGAAAATAGTAAGAAAGTGTCGTTCAAGTATCAACGAAGTTGAAGTCATTGTCTTCATTAGTACTTTTTGTAATGGTCACGCTTTTGTAATGGTCACGCTCTTCCATGTATAACATCAGTTCAAACAAAAATTATTAAACAGATAATAAAACGACATTAAAAACCTGGATTCTCCTCTCATACTAGATAGTTTGACCGAGCAAAACGTAACTCCTTTCCTTTTCATTTTATCAAGAATACAATACAACGCTACTTGAACAACAATAAAAGTACTTGTTTGTAAATGTAGATCGTCCAGGTTGGTATAGTCCTGAGAAAGACTGTTTTTGTAGTTGTTGACTGACGTTTCGACAACCTTAGCGGTAGTCATCTTCAGAGTCAAATGAGGAGTAAACGTCAGGTTAGCCGTACTTATTGATTCATTCGTCTGTTTAAATATTAAATGGCATCATGGCATGTACAAAGCAAGAGCAAAGGTTATATGCATGAAATTTTGAATACGAATGAGTCAAATATCTAAACATGAAGCTAATACATTTAATGATAAAATCAAAATCCTATAACAATGCTACTACTCATTATCAGACGTGAATAAACAACTAACAAAATTATATGTTTGTAAATGATAATCGTCCAGGTTAATAAAGTCCTGAGAAGGACTGTTTTTGTAGTTGTTGACTGACGTTTCGACAACCTTAGCGGTAGTCATCTTCAGAGTCAAATGAGGAGTAAACGTCAGGTTAGCCGTATTTGTTATCTGGTTCATACGTCATTGTATTGTGTGTACAGGAAATGTGTATCGTCATTGTGAATTAGTGTGAAGTGAAATATTTTTAGTTGTGATGTTTTTAGTTGTAATGTGTGGGTGTTAATTGTGTATTGTCATTGTGAATAAGTGTAATATTTTTAGTTGATCGTTTGTTTGTATTGTGAATAAGTCGTTTGTAAGGTTTCCAAATTGGTATACCAACTTTCTAATGAAAGCCGTTGTCTATAGTCAGTACTGTAAGTAATGCATTTTGCCGAGTCCCAGTCAATGTTGTGCTTTATGATTCGGTGATGTTCGGCAATGTGATTAGTTGTGTTATGTTTCTTAGTAGCTCGTTTGTGTTCAGTAAGTCTTATGTTTAAGTTCCTGCCAGTTTCCCCGAAATAGGAGGCGTGGCAGTCGGAGCAGTTTATTTTGTAAACTGCACCTTGTCGTTCGTTGGGTTGTTCTTTGTCCTTTATGTTCGTTAGTACTTGTCGTAAAGTTGTGATTTGTTTATGTGCGACACGTATGTTGTATGGTCGTAAGATACGCGAGATAGTCTCAGACGTACCTTTGATGTAAGGTATCGTTGCTGTTGTCACTGAGTTGTTCGTTTCGTTGGGCTCGTTGGGTTTGTAAGTGTTGCGACTGATAAAGTAAGAGTTATAGTTGTTTTTGTCAAAAACACGTTTGAGATAGTTGTTTTCATTGTGTAGAGCGTCCGGTGAATCACATATGATTTGTGCACGTTCTTGTTAATGTTCTGATTGTGGTGGCTTTGTGTGATGTAGTGTTGTAAGACGATTGGTCTTTACAAGAAGAGTTCCGTTTTCTTCGACATCTTTGGTAAATTGTATGTGGCTGTTCTTTTTGTTGATGTGAGTGAGAAAGTCATCAATCTCGTCTGCATGTAGTGCTGTGATTGTGTCATCTACGTAGCGGAACCAAAAAGGTAGTGCATGTTTGTAAGTCGTGAGCGCCCGTTCGTCTATAGATTGCATTACAATTTCAGCAACTACAACAGAAACGGGTGAGCCTATTGCTGTTCCTGTTCCATGTAATTGTTTGAAGTGTGTACCTTTGTACTGGAAGTAAGTCGAGGTGAGGTAGAGCTCCAGTTGCTCCATAATGTCTTCTGTCGTTAATGGAAGTACGTCCGTAGTGTTTGTAATGAGGGTTTTTGTACAAGTAAGTGCCAGATTAAGTGGAATACTGGTGAACAGTGATTTCACATCAAAAGACATTAGTACATAGTTGTCCGGTATTTGTATAGTGCTCAGTTTTTTAATGAAAGTTTCAGTGGATTGTAGCTTGTGTTTTGATTTGCTCGTATGTGGTTGCAGTATGTTAGTCAAGTACTTTGAGAGTTCGTAAGTAGGCAAACCACAGAATGATACAATTGGTTGCATGGGTATTTGTGGTTTGTGAAGTTTGGGTAGTCCCTATAGTCTGGGCGGTCGTGGTACTGAACATCTAAGTCGATAGTAAATACGTTCAGATATAATTTTAGATTTTCTCTTAGAGAAGATCTTGCTATTAAAATTGCGTACTAATGATGGTGTTGTGTTTCGTTTGAGTCGTTCGTATGTTTGTCTGTTGTTAACAAGGGTGTCCATTTTCTAGAAGTAATCAGTCATGTTCTTGACCACAGTCACGCGTCCTTTGTCTGCTGGTAAAATGACGATGTTGTTGTCATGTTTTAGTTGTTTGAGTGCTTGTTGCGCGTCCTTTGTCAAGTTATTATCACGTATAGAGGCCAATTGTAAAGCGGAGACTACCCTGCTTCCGAGCTCGTCTTTGGTTTTCTCTGACCAGTCTCTTTGATACGCAAGATCGTCTCAGTCGGGATTCGTTTAGTTGTTATGGAATGTTTTATCCGTGTAAGACAGTAGTCGTGTTTCAGTTTCGTCTAATGGAACTGAAGATGACTACCGCTAAGGATGTCAAAACGTCAGTCAACAACAATAAAAACAGTCTTTCTCAGGACTATACCAACCTGGACGATCTACATTTACAAACATGTAACGATACTCCCGGGTTCAAACCATTTACTTTAATAAAAGTACTGAGAAGTCCAACTCTAAAACTCACACAAATGATGGACAACAATATGATAAAGAACTTTATTTCAAACTAGCGAGATATAATTCCTGCAATATTTATGAATCTTTTCGCCAAATATCTACTAGGAAAAAGGAACACAAAAACACAGACAGAAACTCCTCATCAACAAACATTTTAATATTTCTCATTCCAGTAAAAATAAATTTTCAAAATGTTGCTTAAAAATCATTGGCACCGATCAATCAAACATGATCTAATAAGATTGATCAAACAACTCGAAGTTAAAGGAAAAGCTCCTGGCTTAATGCAATGCGTACATTGACTAAGACGTAGTTTTTAAGAAGCTAGAGTTTGAGACTCGCCTCTCGCACTATAGGATACAGTATACTATTATATAATTTACTTAGTGTGTGTGTGGTAAGGTATTGTCCGTTGGTCATGTCAACTCGAATAAAAGGGGCTGTTTTCTACCTCAAAGACATAATGGTATTCGCTACTTGTTGGCGACTTCAATTAACAAGGTATGCATACAAAAGCGACAAGATCGAACCTCGTCTTAAGCCTTTCAACAATGAGGTTCGAGTTTCGAAGCAGAGGAATGGCTGCTTACTTTGAATTCATTTCTCTGCTTGGGTTGGCACTATTTGACAGCTAATTCCTTTCATTTTTACAAATATCTAGCGATCTAATATCACTCAATATGAAGAAAAAACTTTTATACAAAGTTGAAAACATTAAATTATTCGAATTTTATCTCTCGCGTGTGGTTCGGTCTACTCATAGTCTCATACTTCAATGTATTTCATAGCTTACTTTACACCACACTTCTAAAATTCTACAAAGACATGAGCATTTAGAAAGAAAAAAACAAACAAAGAAATGGATGTTATAAATACATATTAATTGGACAGTGATATGTCCGTCACCCAATAAACAAACAGTAACCAGATGCTACTAAAGTCAGTCGCAATCTGAATAATGATCAATGTATGAATGATTTTTACATACAAATGAAGTTAATAAAAGGAAATAATTTAATTTCTTGAATTTATCGCATATGAACATGAGAAAAGTAGCTACCATGTAAGAGGAATTACAACTAAAACTAAAATTTTGCGATAAAATTTTTTCAATATAACAAAATATCAGCCTGATTTACTCGTCAACTTTTGTTTTTGTAAATAACATAATAAAAAAGATCAGTGCATGCACTTTAATAGTCTAGAGTGTAATTCGGGCAAGATGACGTCTTCAAGTTGTGCTCGCCACAAAACAGTTATGCCGTAATTTCATTTGATGAAATTCTAAAACACAAAAGGCGATATTATGAACACAATTATCAGTTGCCGTTACTTTGGCCGGAACACCTCAAATAATATGGATAACTGTAAACGTTGTCAACATCGCTCAAATATACTACATCTTAAACTCCCAGCTGATTGATTATAACAACAAAACATTGCTTTCAACCATTATCAAATTGTTATTTCAACCGAATAAAATTAACACAACCAAATATAAACGGTTATAATGACCAATTAATATATCATAATGAATATCAAACTCTGCTCAAAACAATGGACCTTATGTGTAATGACGTAGCTATGCCCGATGGGTGCAATCAATGACTTATACCCAATCCTCTAGATATCTAACTGCCGTTGTCACGGTGAGGCAAATTTTATTCGCGGGCGCCATCTTGAAAGGTGGCAAAAAACATAACACGCAATATACGGTAGTATAGTTTACATGTCAAACTGACTCAAATATATGGTTGAAAAACGTTGAAAGCAATCAATCTTAAAAACAAACACAGGTATAACATCCTCAACTCTAAAACAACGTTCAAGAAGCACATTTTAGCTGCAAAGCGCGTAATTTTCGATTTTTCATGGTCAAATCGTGCGCCGCGTATGGATGTACAAATCGCTTTTCGAAAGAGAGTAACATAGCTTTTCACAAAATTCCCATTGAAAATAAGGAGCTCTGTAAAAGATGGGTCATTGCTATGAAACGAAAAAACTTTACCCCAAACGCAAGCAGCTTTCTTTGCAGCGATCATTTTTTGCACGATGATTATAACACTGAAAATGCCTATAAACGCAAGTTAAAGTTAGACGCGATACCTTCAGTGTTCGCTTTTCCGGAGAGACTACTATCTAAAAAGTCAAAAAGAAAGCCTCCTGCTAGAAGAGAGACAGAAATATCATCACCAAGCGCTAAAAAAGCTAAAATAGATTTGCTCGAGGAAAGTCTAATAGAAGAGACAATACCAATGCAAAATGCTGTAGCAAGTAGTCCCAGGAAAAAAAAATTGCGAAGAAAAGTAAAAACTCTTAAGCAAAAGTTACGACGTAAGGAAACGAAAATTCAGTCGCTACGTAGTTTGGTGAAAAAGCTTGAAAAAGAGAAATTTATTTCATCAGACGCAGCTTCAATTCTCGATAACAACTTTTCAGGAGTAGGTGGGGAAATTTTAAAATCAGACCTAAAGAACAAAAATCGTGCTGCTACAGGCCGTCGATACTCAGACGAAGTTAAAAAGTTTGCGTTAACACTTAATTTTACTCTCCACGAGCGTACAATTTTGTACGCACGATTTTACATTGCCATGTCCAAGCGCTATCTCAAACTGGACTTCCAGTGTAAACTGTGAACCAGGGTTTTTTGATGATGTGTTTTCATTTCTACAAGAAAAAGCAAGAAATAATCCGGAGTATAGGGACTGCGCTCTTCTTTTTGATGGTATGTACATTAAGTCAGGGGTTGTTTACAACAGAAGTAAAGGAAATTATGAAGGGTTTGTCAATTTTGGTGCGGATGTTGTTGCTTTTGATCCAGACAAGGTTGCTACTGAAGCTCTTGTGTTTATGTTAGTTGGTTTACGAGGACATTGGAAATGTCCTATTGGTTACGTGTTATGTAGTGGAATAAATTCTTCAAATTTGAGTGCACTGGTTAGCAAATCGTTTCGCTTAGCATCTTCACATGGGCTAAATATTTACAGTGTGACTTGTGACGGTACTGCCACCAATTTTGATTGCATGAAAGCCCTTGGTTGTGAGTTTGGATCAAATTTGTCTGACATTAAATGCTCTTTTAACTATGAGTCATATGAACACCCACTGTTTTTTGTTCCTGATGCTTGTCACATGCTAAAACTGGCAAGAAATGCATTGTCCGATCTTAAAGTACTGGTTTCGAGTGAAGGTAGTTTGATCAAATGGGAGCATATTGAAGTGCTGCATAAAGTTCAAGAGGGAGAAGGGTTAAAATTTGCAAAAAAGCTGTCCACGGGGCACATTGAGTTCCATAGGCACAAGATGAATGTGAAAGTTGCAGCACAAACATTCAGCAGTTCAGTTGCAGATGCCATTGAATACCTGATGCTTTCTGGTCATCCAGCTCTTAGTGATGCGAGTGCAACAATAGAATTCATAAGGATTGCTGATCAACTTTTTGACATATTAAACATACGAAGTCCATTTGGCAAATGTTTTAAAAAACCACTTTTTGTATGTGATCACAACACATGGAAAAAAACTTTGGAAAAGTCAATTGAATACCTTTTTTCCCTTAAAACAAACTCTGGTGTTCCTCTGATCAAATATAGAAGAAAAACATTTGTTCTCGGTTTTGTAGTAGCAGCATCGAGCATTAAAGAGTTGGCTCACATTCTCCTTACAAGGGAGCATGATCCTTTCAAATACATTCTGACATACAAAATGTCCCAAGACCACCTTGAGCTGCTGTTTGCATGCATACGTGGTAAGAATGGCTTCAACAATAATCCAGATATTGTACAATTTAAGTCCAGTCTACAAAAAATTCTTTTAAGAAATTCCATCATTGGTTCCAAGCATGCAAACTGTTTGACTTTCGAAAATGAATCTGCTGGTTCTATTTTTTCATTAAAATGGAATAAAAGAAATGCTCCAGCCTTTGAAGTAGAAGAGATGACACCAAAGGACACACAATATGTCAGTAGTTTAGTTTCTGGATTAGAATCATGTTCACTGTCATCATACAAAGAAGCAATACTTGGATATATTGCTGGGTTTGTTGTAAAAAGATAATCAATAGAATCACCTGTACTGAATGTGCAAGAGCTCTTTTGCTTAAGTCAAAAAAATCATCATCAGTTCATGATCATAATTATTCACACTTCCAAACTACTACATCTTTATCTTTAATCAGTTTGAAGAATCGTGGTGGTCTTGTTCTCCCTTCTAATGGTGTGACCAAAATTATATTTGCATCTGAAAGAGCTTTTCAAGTCCTCATTCATGAAACTCGTTCAAAAAAACAAAAAATTTCCAGCAGGAGAAACTTGAAGACTATAATGGTTCATCTTATTAACCAAGAGCTTGCAGAAAAGAGCTTGTTTCCTGAACTCAACGAGCATGATGTTGATCACGAAGCAATAACTGAAGATCTACATTCATCACAGCTTATCAAACAGATCATTGAAAAATACATCAATTTACGACTTTCGACCTATGGTAAGCAATATAATAAAGATATCCTCCACAAAAACAAAATTGGTGTTCGCCAGCAATCTACGAAGCTTGTTTTATTTCAAGGAATCTAGTCGACTTCGATGAACATCCACACCACAACCAAGGAAATGTAAATCCTAAAAAAATAATTAATAGTGGTTTATTGTAAATAGTGAAAATAAGCGCATTTTTACAACGATGCAGTCATATTGTTAATAGATCTAAAATTATATTGTTCAGGTAAAACAATTCATATAAACCGTAAACGTTGTGTTCAAATCAAAGTTCTGGATAGCTGTTATGCGATTTTGTCGCTTTTTTTCTGTAAATATGTTTTCGGTTTACGATAAAAAGCATAGAGAACAGCAAAGAAGATGTAAATTAATAAATACTCACGATTAGTAGTTCATACTTATGTAACTCTCAGCCTTTAGTTTATGGTCGCAAAATACACGTTAAGACCGCTCTATCTGAAGTATTTAAAAATTTTACACATTTTAACAATATTAAAGAAATTACTCACCATTTTTAATGCAACTTCAGTAGAACAGCATCATAAAAACGCTCTCAAAGTCGATTTCTCTCAGCACAGACTTAATGTTTTTATATGCCGCCATTGTGCTTTTGCCACCTTTGCAAATGGCGGCCGCGTAGAAATTTGCCTCACTCATTACTATACAAATTTGGCTGAGTCAGGTATCTAGTAGAATGGGTACTAGATCATTGGGTGCAATACACCACTTTGGCGGTTTTCATATATGTGGAAACACGTGTTTGCTAAAGAGAAAAACTCGGACAAACATGGCGGAGTAATTTTATAACAATGGTTACGAGGAAGAGGTGCGCTTGGAGAATCTGCAAAAGCGATTCGCGGTATCCTGATCGCTTAAAACGAGACGCAAGTAGAAGCAAAGTATTTTTTTTACATTTTCCTGGGGAGAAATACCATAGCGACAAGCGAGAGCGCTGGATTCGTGCGTGTCATCGAGGTGACAGATTTGTGTCTACGAAAGACAGTTATAATTGTAGTCTTCATTTTGTGGGAGAAAATGGTCCTACTGTAGATAACCCAGACCCTATTTCAGCAATACAAAGTATTGAGAATGTAAGTGTTGACTGCTTTTTTGTCTAAAATGTGTGAATTATACGAAAGCTTGCTGAACGTTTTATAAGCTTATACATTCATTTTAAATTCATATAGAGAAGAAAACTAACGGGAAAACGAAAAAACCAATGACGAGGGTATATAATCCGCCACCAAAACGAGCGTCAATCTCCAAAAAAGATGCAGCAGAGGCTCTTCTTTACTTGAGCGAAAGGGAACACGCTAAAAGAGACGCAGCTGACGGCCTTCTATCCTTATGTGAAAATAGTACAACATCCCGTGATATGCAAGAGGACCAAGACGAACTTCTTGTTTTAAAGAAAAAAGATGCTGCTGTTCAAACCAACCTAACTTATGAACATCTTAAAACATATGCGACTGAGTCATTGGTTAATGAAAAACGTCATTACGCATAAGGTCTATTATATGTATTTGGCTACAACAAATGGTACTAATTTGCCATTCATTGATTTAATAATAGAATACTATTACTATCATTTTCAAATTTTATGAAACTTTCACTATTATTAGCATGTTATAGAAATCTTTCGTTATCATAGCCCCAAATTTATTAAACTGTTCATTTTTCGGGTGAAAGTATTTACGTTTTCGGTGAAAATATTTCATTCTTTCCCGTAACTTCATCAACTTCATTCTGTGTAGTTAATACAACATGTTGTTCTCAGATAATGATATTAACACACTTCTCCATTCCCGGCGCCTCTTTTTAATCTCGAGGATTTCTTTAAACAACTGAGTTAGGAACTATTGGACACTTTTCCCAGACACTTTTACTGGTATATCACAAGAACTAACTGGCTTATCACATTTAATTCTCTTAAAAACGCTCCAACGTTCACTTTCATTAACATCTGCAACCTCAAGATCAACGAACTCTCCCCTATACTTTTAGCTCTATCTTATTTTCCTCATTCGAAAACTCTTCGATGTACTCTTGCCATCTTCCAATTACACTTCAAGTTTCTGTCAATGCATTTCATCAGTGTCCTCTTTAACTCAAACTTTCTGCGCATCCATAGCGCCTGTATTTCTCTGTTTTGCTAATCTGTATTAAGGAATCTCGGGTTCCTTACAACACCCAGCAGATCATACAAGACATTGTAAGCCCTATGCTTTGGCTTTTTATTTCTACTTGCTATTTCTACTTTAATAAAATTATGATATATATATTCCAGTACTTCCGTTTCTGTCTTCAGTTCTCTCGTAATCCCACATCATCTTCGCTAATCTTTTTCTGTCTATACCGTCCAGTCCGTCCGACATATCTTCATTCCACTACTAAATATCTACTTTCTTTTCAGATAACACATCAAACAATTTTCTACTCGTGCACCAGACACATTTCATCGCTGCGGTAGACCATTAATCTGAAAGAACATCTGGATTATCTAGAGCCTTTCTCAATTCTTCTCTAAAAACTAAACAGTAATCTTCCTTTTTCAGATTCAACCCCTTTTTCCACTTTACTGCTTTTGATCACTCAAATCAAGTATGAAAAAAAGACATGGAAAGAAAGATAGACATGTTAAATGTGGTTAATATTTCGAAATAAACAGTTCACAGCTTCATGAAAAACTCGCATATTTTCTGCATTGTTCACAGTGAAAAGTATCAGACATTAGTTTACAGAACAATATTTGCACGATCTTTTTTGATTGATGGGGATTGCATGCATGATATTTCGGATAGTTAAAAAAATGGGTAGTCAGCTAACTTGCGTGAAAATTGCATGGAGTGTTTTTTTTTTTTACGTAAAATTACATAAAGCAAATTAAAAAACTTACTTATGCAGCACATGCTTCTTTATTTCGTAACTGACTTGACGAGTCAACAACTAAACGTCAAAAATTTATCAAATACATTACAGAAAATAAAATAACGCAATTGACCAACATCGTGACACAACAGATATTTCTCAAAAGACAATGATTGTCAATGGAAACACTCGTATCTCGAAAAAGTACCTACCAAAAAACTAAGGATTCAAGTATATTGCATTTGCTGTTTCAAGCAAGCATTACTTTTTGAATCAACTTTACACATTTTAATTAGAGATGCTTCTATTTTGTTTCATTAGATGTCGTGATTCAATATCTCATGAAACATGTTTATTTAAAAAAAACTCCTCGTTTTTAATAAATGCGCATTAAAATAGATTACTACCTGCAATCAAAAGCTGGCTGATAATTTCCTTTGTAAGACAAGGCAACACAAAACAAAAAACCTTTACTTCGCTTAATTAATGGTGATCGCTAGGTATACTTCAAAATAAGGTTTCCGCTGGGAGTCTGGTACGAGTTATGCAATATCTTCGGAAAAAAGAAACGAGTACTTCACGAACAACGAACCAAGATAAAGCGATAAACCTTACATTTACTATCACTGAGGATATTAAATTTATGAGTACAGTTTAGTTTTGGAGTTTCATTGTGATGGTGTTCTTGTTATTTGATTGAACAGTATGTTGGAAGTTCATTCCCCTCAATGTTAGAATCCCAAAACATATAAATGTATTCAATAATAATGCTATATTACTTATATAATTGACGCAAATTATCGAGATATACAAATATATATAAAATAAAATTAACAAGATTTTGCTGTTGCTATTCGGATTTTCACATACATGGACTATATATATGCATAAAATATGCGATTACGACATATACAATGATATATTTCGCATTCCAGTAAATAACAAACCAAATTTTATACTGAGTTTTGACAAGTTTTTTCATAAATTGTATTTGTACAGGGGTAGAAGATATGCTATGTTAGTAAATCTTCAATAATAGTCTTAATAGGTAACATTATTAATCTACTACAAATTCTATGTACAGTAAATCAGCTTATGTGTTGTAAGAAAAATATCATTTGGTACTTGACCAAGTTAAATAATATGCATTTAAGAACAGTGCCTATTGGGCTATTAATTAAGACACGACACTACATTTTTCACCGATGACTGATGTAACACTTAGTCTGTTTCCAGCCCAGATTGTCATGTCTGCAACATGTGAAGAGAAGAACATAACCTGTGTATACCAACATACTTAATAATTTTAACCTATAAATCTGCAATGTCCCTGTTACGTGCGTGGTCCCGAAAGAATAACTATTAATTTTGGTTCTATTTACACACGCAACAAAGATAGTGTGAACCAGTTATATTTCTCAAACAATTTATTAATTAATGCGTAAATATTAAAGTAGATAAGTGTCTTAATAATAATATCAATAAGTATGAGTAAAACTTATCTCCTCTGTCTGAGTACAACCGCGAGTCTTTATTCTTGAGCGTTCGTGAGTCCAACAATGACTCACAATAGTTTTCCAAATAGATTAAAGGCACAGAAGCCAAAAGATAGTTATGGCACAGAAGCCAAGATAGTTGTCTGGTAGATTGTAGCTTGTCAACCTACTTCGGTAGGCTATGCCTCCTAAGTTTGTCTCCTCGTAGCTTGTGCTCGTAGGTCTTCCTCGTAGGTTGTACTCAGTGGTCTAAACTACTCATATATATATATAATACCTAATGGGAAGTATTGTGGTTTTGTGACCTACATCCCATACGCAATACAGTATGTTACAGCAAGATGTAGTTAACCACAATAACAACAAATGCGGTTGCGGTTCTAAAATATGTTTACGCATGTAAGCAAGCTTCTAGCGCATGCAAGCAAGCTTCTAGATAACGTTCTAATTAATTATATATGAAATTATGATATGATATAATAATGATATTACATGATAGTAGTTGCTATCATGTAACAGTCCCATACTCCAAATGTGCTTTTCTATGGCCTTTCATTATGTGTCATGCATGATTATTTTCCTGATTGATGGGATTATCTTTTCCCTTCATTTACATTTTTATATAGTGGTGGATCTAGCAAAATACAGTCCATCAAATGGTTTCATTTTAACCTTAAAAAATTCTTAAAAAATGTCATTGTTATAAAGGTACTTTGAATTGAAAAATATTGGCCATAACTTATTTTTCCTTACCCTAGATCCACTACTGATTTTTTGATATGAAATGTTTTTTCATGAACATTCCTTCGTCATTTTATCACTGTTGACCTTTCCTGAATATGACAAGGCTCTTTGTTTACTTTATGTGGGCACATTGTGAGCTGTTTTCTTTCCAGACACTGTTTTAGATGTTGATGTAAATATAAATTTATCTCTGGTCGATAAAAAAAAATACTTAGATCAGGTGATCTAATGAACGACAAACACATTAATGCAGCACAAATTCTTATAAAAAACAAATTCCCAGAAGCATGTGGCCTAATGGATACACTAACTGTATCAAACCAACTTAGTGGGGAAGGTTTACCAATTATAGATAGTTCAATGTCTAACATAATCTGGCTTCATAATTTTTCTGGTCACTGGCTTTTTGCTCAGTCAAACGGACAATTAGTGATAGTCAATGACTTTCTGTATCCTGGGTTGACACATCCACTCACCACGAAATTGGTATACTTATACACGAGTATTGCAAAAGGAGGTCTACTGTAAGTAAAACTCAGGTGCTGAAACAGACTAAGTTTTACATCAGTCATCAGAGAAAAATATACTGTCTGGTCTTAATTAACAACCTGATAGGCACTGTTCTCAAACTTGGTAAAGTACCAAATAATATAATAATTTGTAGTAGATTAATGTTACCTATTAAGACTATTATTGAAGATTTACTAACATAGCATATCTTCTATCCCTGTACAAGTACAATTTATGAAAAAACTTGTCAAAACTCAGTATAAAATTTGGTTTGTTATTTCCGTCCCTGATTTCGACTGATTGCTACAACACGCGCAACACTTCCAAGTTTCCAGCCCGAGTTTGGATCGCCCTGGCGCGAAAAGATATGATGATGATGATGACATATATCTTTGTATATCGTAGTCATATATTTTATTCATATATATAGTCCATACATGTGAAACTCCGAGTAGCGACAGCAAAACCTTGTCAAATTTATTTTAAATATATTTGTATATCTCGTTAATTTGCGTCAATTATATAAGTATTATAGCACAATTATTGAATACATTTATATGTTTTGCGATTCTGACATTGAGGGGAATGAATTTCTAACATACTTTTAAATCAAATAACAAGAACATCATCCCAATGAAACTCCAAAACTAAACTGTACTCCTAAATTTAATATCCTCAGTGATAGTAAATGTTAGGTTTATCGCTTTATCTTGGTTCGTTGCTCGTTAAGCACTCGTTTCTTTTTTTTCGAAGATATTGCAAAACTCGTACCAGACTCTCAGCGGAAACCTTATTTTGAAGTATACTATCTAGCGATCACCCATAATTAATTTGCTATAGGATTCCGAAAATTCAGCAAACTGCTACAGGACTCTAGACCACGGTAACATTTTTAAAAAAGTAATTATGCATTACTTACCATAGCAGCAAGTATGTTTGCCGTAATGAGCATGTAAAATACGTCATTCCAATTCTGTGAACAAAAAAAAAAACACAAGCTGTGGTTATGTTTACACCAAAAACACATAATGTACAACCCACAAGGATTCAGTGACCGTTAGTTCAAACTTCTACTTCACGCTATTTGTTTATCGAGCACAATATATTGGATCAGGAGTGTGCCAATTTACTCGATTAATAAATCAAAGTATGGTTTCAGAAGGTTTTGTGGTTTTTGGAACAATAGTTGGCATTCGATATAAATACGTCTTATATTCACTTGAGAAGTGTAAAGAACGCACTCGGTGGCCGGTCGTTGGAATAAAATCCTTGAGAGAAATAAGATTGATCCATTTCTTTCGAAGATCTAGAGACTCCTTATTTTGACCTCCAAGGAAATTGTACAAAGAAAGTTCAGGATTACCTTAGTTGTTTGAAAAGCAACCAGGTACACAACATGTAAATGCACGAGCACCCCCTTTTCGTTTTATTGACGATAACTTTTTGAGCTAGAAGTCTCCTGAAGACACAGGCCAGAGTTCTCAAAAGAACTAAGGACTTCTTTCGTACTTCTTGCCTCAGAAACGCGACTAAGAACAGCAGAAAGCTTTCTTTCGCTATTGGCCATATTGTAATGTTTTCATGTGCGTGACTACTAAGACCAAAATGCAAAGCGCGCTTCTCCCATTTGACTGTATAATGCAAGTTGCCTAGTGAAACACATCAAAACGATCGGCCTACGTTTCTACACAAAGTTAACGACCCCTTCCTCTTCTAGTTTTTTCTGAAAAACACGCTGCTATATTTCTATAGGCCTTGGTAAAAAAAGCCACTTACACAGCGCTTTTCTTCAGGTATTTCGTAATGTTACATGTATAATACGCTGCGTCGAATTTGGTAAACTATCTACGTCAAAACTTTTTAACATGGCCATCCCAAAAAGTTCGTAAAAATGCCTGAAAATAATGATCTAACAAAACTAAATCGAATTTCTGTACTAATTCGAAATACTGAAATCGATCATTAATGTAAGTTCTTCAAATTTGCAGCAGCCAAAACAAAGAGAAAAAATACTCTCCACAAAAGCATTTTAAAATGAACGACACAAAACGTTAAGATAAATTAACGTGCTTACATTATTTGAAAAGAATGATGTTAGAAGAGGCCCAAGCGCAGCACCTAAAAGAATAAAAATGAAAAGTGTAACAACTATCTAATTTAACGCGATTGATGAATGTATGTATTTTCTAAAACAACCAAGGGCCTCTGAAGACTATTGAAAGAATTTCGATATTCTAATAAGTGTTTCATTCCATGCAGGATATTTAGATATCACGCGGGCGACACAACTTTCGACTACAATAAAATGTTGTTTCTCTGTCTCTCAAAGTTGTTTTTCATATCCTCGAAACATCTTTCAATTCGTATTTCACGGGACAAAGAGAACTACAAATTTTAAGTTATTGATTTCACTTGGTTCATAATAATAATAAAGCCAACCTCACACGGAAAAATGTTTCTACCTTATCACAAAAAACGCATAACCTAGATTTAAAAATTTTTAAACTTTGATTGTGTCGGAATTGGGGTAAGTAAAAGGATTACATACGAGGCTGCATAACTACGTTATAACATTTTTTGTTTGTAAATTGCAATTTTAGAATTCTTTCATTTAATCCATATATGCAATATAGTAATTATATTTTAGCAGGGCTCTTCTAAAAACCACTTCAGCTATGTAGGCTCTCTGGGTAGATACCACCGTAATGACAATAATAAAAATAATTATTTAAACAACGAATATAAATGGTCACTCCTTTGATATCATAAACACTGTCAACACGCTCAACCTACTGCAGGTCACGATCAGTAGGTCACAATCACTCTAGCAAGCCAACTGAATTAAGATCATGGGAAAGTTGTCTTAGAAAGTTTATGTCATGCAAACTAAGATCTCGTCTCAAACCGGTAGAGATTGCAAACGATGAAAAACTCTTACGATTTAAGATAGTGCTCAACACGATGACCGCATGAAACCTTGACGCTAAAAATGACTTAGTAAACATAGCCGTCACAGTGATCTATATGATCCGCAATAACGCGAACTCCTCAAATAAATAAAATTAAAATTAACTCAAAGCCGCGTCATCAATCTGTTTTAGTGCACCAGAACTCAACACCAAAATCAAACAAACGTGTGACGACATCGCTTGCGTATCGGCAGAGTTTTGTAACAGTATCATGTGAACCGGGTCTAAATCTTAGCTAATTTCTTTATTGTCCAACGAGGGTTTAGAAGGCAAAAGTCAGCAGGGAGAAGAAAACAATTTTGGTGTGCTTGTTGGCAAATAAGCATTCCTTTCAATTGCAAAAAATTATGAAAATATATTTTTAGACCTGATGACTCTCACATAAAATAATAGTTTTAGTACGATGTAATATTCTGAAGTGACGACAATTTTATTTTTAAATTATTCTCGAACGATTTTGTCTTGGATTAATAATAGAGCATGAAATAAGATTACTGAAAAAAACAGTGTATCTAAAAGGCACTAAACGAACTACTAGCAGTGACGAATCCAGCCCGATCTTTTACTCCTACAATGCAAAATTTCAGAACAATTATCATTGATTTCTTTAGGAAATTAATTCCATTCATTGTTTTTCCAGTGATTGAACTTTGTAGGAGTAAAAAAACAGGCTGGCTTCACTACTGATAACTACATGTGTTACAATACCAAGCAACACACTTCCAAGATTCTAGGGTCGTCTACATAGAAGAAGTTCACGCTTACATTGACAAAGGGCGAGTTCGTGCTGGACAGGTTGTAAACAGGATAGTTGATATTACGGTGAGTGTAGCAACAAAATCTACAGTAGGTGAATTGTGAAACCTCGCCAAGTCAGCAGTTAATAAGCCTACGCTTAGCCTCTTTAAAACACCTACCCCGCTGAATGTTTTTTTATAAATATGATGGATGTGCAGTCACTTTGTCAGAAATATGTATACATCTGTCATAACACCTGAATTTTTTATTGATGATTTCATGTAACATGCTTAAATTGCTACTGAAGTTAAATTATCATATTTCGTTTTTTGCATGACACAAACGTTTTCTCTGTATTTTATTAATCATTTTGAGCTATTGCACACTGAATTTGGCCGACGGGAACGCATCAAGATTTGCCTTCGAACATGGAACTTTTCCTTGTTTTGATGCGAAATTGACTTTGAGCGCGTGACGTCATTTAAACGACGGAAGTTCAATTTCAAAGCTACTAGTTTAAAAAATATATACGAACCCGAATATTTCCAACTGAGTTTTACATTTTTTATGACTTTTCTTTGCAAAAATTGATTATAGTTGGTGAAAAATGAGTAATACAAATAAGTAAACAGCATATACAATCCATTATAGTTTTAAAAACTTATAAAATAAACTTATAATTCTCGATAAACTGGATGCCGCATCCTTGCGCAGTCCGTGGTTTATAAAACACGCAATGTTATCAAATAACAAAAACTAACTGTAATTCGCTTAATTCCAATCAATTATAAATTGTTATTTGGTAGATTAACAACAAGATACAATGCAAGCAAAGGGTTTGGACATAGATTTAAACAAACTGCTTCAACAGGTCGTTTACATCCAAAGAAAATGCACTAGTGCAAAAAGTGTTTACAGCCCATGAAAGGACTTCCAAAAAGTAATTATCCACAAGAGTTATTTGACAAATATTCTTGGCATGCAAACATTCTTGTTAGTGATAAAATAACATACTATGCCATGGGGAAATTGTTCTCGGATGTCAGTGTAGATGCATGTACGTTAATATCTAGAATTTTCCCAACCACGGCATCCACAGAGCCATCGAATGACTCAAAAGTGTACAACTGCTTTCAAGTATCTGCGTATGAGAAATTTAAAGCTGTAAATGTACATTTGTTAATTATTTACTTTGATTTAAAAGAACAGAAATGTGAAGCATCACAAAATACAACACAAGATAAAGATACGAGTAACGATCCATGGCAAGATTTTGATCTTTCCTTACAAAATAAAATTAGAAATCAAAATGTATTAACTCATTTGCATGTACTTGATCTCACAAAGGTGGGCCAACATTCTTCAAGACAGTAGCATGTGTCATAACGGTGTACTCTATGTGAAGAGTAATACAGCTAATTTTTTCAATGCTCTCATCGAATACCAGTTCATGTAAAGAACGGCCAACCTCTCTACAACAAGGGCATTCAATATAGCATCAGTCACCGGTTGAGTAAGACACAAGCTACATGCACACCTATAAAATAAGCTGTTTGTTATTGTACTTACAACCACGACATGCGGAGAAAATAACATTTCCAATTTCTTCTAGGGTTCTAATAACGTTTATTAACTTGCCAATTACCTAATTTAACGGTCCCTTCGAACTTCGCTTCTAATGTTTGAGGTTGTAAGCCATCTGCGTTTTCTTCGACCTAAAATTCTCGCCAACTGCGTTCGCTAGAGGTTCATTTTCGTACGAATTAACAATTGATTTAGGCACTATTGTATCCTCATCGCCGGAATTTGAAAGCAAATTTTCATTTACTGTTTCCAAGATTTCAGTATCCGAACTGCATTCGCTTCTAATGCTTCCAAAACTCAAATTTCATAGTAAAGACGTGTAAAACATGTAACAAAATACTAGAAAATCAATGCTCGTACTTCGACTTCCGTCCTTTCAATTACATCACATCCGTATTATAATTGAGGAGTTAAAATTCGCACGCATAACGCAACTTTGGGCAAGAGTTTACTGATGATGCCGTCCTTAAATTTCATAAAAATTATACCAAAGTGATCGGGAAAGATTAAACTATTTGATTACAGAAAAAAATCGATACCCAATTTTTTTACTTCAATAGCACTTTAATATTTTTGTCCTCGCTTGTTACGTTTAATTCACTTTCACTTCTTGATGTAATTTTTGTCTAGAACCAAAGGTCATTTACTTTATTACGCACGTATTTAGAGTTTATTTGCCTGCAATTGGCCATATTATGCAAATTGATTAAACCACTGCTCATCTTTATTTCTTTAATCGTAAAATATTTAAATTGAATTTTCCAAATAAACTAAAAATTTATAGTTTTTACGGTGAGTTAACACCTATATATTTACATTAGCACGCTAATTTTTAGGGGCCAGCTATGTCACTGATTGAAAACATTTTAAAACATTTCGTCCGAATATAGCGTTTTCAATGAGAAGTGTGAATGTGAGCGATGTAGAAATGTATTTGAAATTTCTCGTACATTACAGTATCATTGCACGAGAAAGAAAAGCACAGAATAGTCAAAAATGCACAATCTTTCACTTACCCAATGAACCAGTACCATCAATGATTGCAGTGACAATTGCCATTGCTTTCGTATCACCACGAAGTGCTTTTTGTGTGGCCTAAACAGTGAGAATATTTTTTCAAAAACTTGTTGTAAGCCATTTGAATATGGAATGAACAGAACTGCGTTGAATAGAAGCAACCAAGTAGTGATGGCGTGTGTATCTTGGAGAGATATAGACAGTGGCAAAACCAGCCCTTAGCGAGCTTTCGCTAGAGTACGACTCACTGGAAACCTCATCAATTTTTTTTTATTAAGCGCAACATGTTGCCAAAAACATGAATGCAGCTATAACTTATATGGCAAATTGTGGATGAACGTGTCAGCAGAGTTGCACAGGCTCATGCTGTTAAGAGTTCTTCTCCCCTTCTGATTTCAACCAACGCGATTATAGCAAAATGTCAAAACTCTTAATCCAAACACAAACTCTTTTAAAATTTCGTCAATAAAACATATTGCAAACTTGTGTGGTACACGGATGCTGAAGTTGCGCAAGGTGAAAGATAAGGAAACATTTCATGACAATGGTAGGTAAGATCGTAATGTTTGGCATTTAAAGTGCCTATACCCTGTTTTTGTAATTAGGCTATGTAGATAGTTTAGATCATTTTAAACTATTGTCAATATATTTTATAATTTTTAAAATTTGATCTCCGTGCATTTTTTAGAGCTCAAAGACGGTGATTATTTGCCTGACCGTGACATTAAAAAAACTAAGGCGAGAGCCTAGATCTGACGTCATATCGGGAACACGTTTTAAGAAAACACTGTATTTTACACATAATTTCCTCAAAAGCGCAGCTATATTGTTGCCTTACCCACGTATATGGCATCTTGTGTCGTAGATGTTCAAAAAAAATCAAATTTTAAACCAAATACAACAGATGAATTCCCGATGGGACGTCAAAAAAATAACATTAATTACTAGCTTTTTTATACTGGCGGTGAAACAATGAAAATGATCAACTTTTCAACTTGGAGTGCGAAAATATCCAGCAAAATCATATTTTCGAACTATAAAATATATTATTAAAGTTTTTAAAGTAGCCTGAACTATCTAAATGGCAGAAATGCAAAAACATGATAAATGATAAAAAAATGCTGCTTTGGTCATGGGTCGTGCTGAATAGTTTTCAATCCTGACGAAATATCTTAGTTCAAAGTATCTAAAAATTTCATCATATCATAGTGTTTTAGGTAACTAATGTTCTTTTTTAAAGCACTCCAACATATTTCTTTATATCAACGCAAAATTATTTAAACATGACAAAAAATTGTTCACCGTACATTTACTACATATTAACGAGTATGTATTCCACAAAACGCTAAAGCATATCTTAATGGTTTGAGTATCTCGGTCTGCGTTTGCTGCTTGTCTTTCGTAATAACTATTGAACGCTTGTAGAATTAGAAATTAGGAGGGAGTGAATGATACAAATAATTTTTCAAGTGGAAGTTTTCATTAAAATTTCTCTGTGGCATTCATTTTTTGACAACAGTTCCCAGGCCCCTTTTCTCTTCCAAGTAATTTAATGGAACTCAATAGTACGACTACGACTACGAGTAAGAAGTTGGGATTGGCAAAGGGAAGCTCGCAGTCGATGTTGCGTCATCAAAGTTTTGTTTTAGTTGTAAAAAACAGAACGAGCTTTTCTACTGTGAAAAACACCTCGTTTTGAGAAGCTGCTACAGCTTTATTTGTCAATAACAATATTGATGAATTGGTACAGTACTGATATAGCGAGACTATAGGACTTTTTAGAGAGAAAAATCTTCACTATTTTACATTTTATAGATTAATATATTTGCTGTATTTTACTGTTTGTTTACAATTCGCTTTGTGTCCTAGATAAATGGAAGTTTTTGAGGTTTTAATTGTACATCTGCAGTGAAAAAAGGTACAGAAGAAAAGCCTGGAAGATCAAAAATAGTATTGTAAACTAAAAAACAAAAAATTTACCTACTGTCTTTGCTTTAAAAGACATCGTAATCGCGACAACTAATTTTTAACAAAACATCGTACTCAGATTGATGACGGCTACGTGTTGTTGTTGTCACAACAATTCACACTTGCTTTGAACAGTTATATGCGCCAATTTTGAAGCCCCACTTATTGAGTGTGAGTGAGCTTTTAGACGGGCAGTAGTTTCCAGTTTCCAACACTTTGCGTCAGTGGTGTACCAGAAACATTAATTTGGAGGGGGGGCACACAAATTCATATATGCATGTCTTAATCCGTTGAAAACAATGGATTTCAAAGAAACTTAATGCGGCAGAACATAAATATATGACTATGTACCCCCTCTCCCCCCCACGAGTCTACTACGACACTGCTTTGTGTTCTTCTAAGTACTTTAATGTTCTCTAACGATACTCGACAAACCCTCAGAATTTGATTCTTTCCAAAGTAGCTATACGAGTATATTTCTTAGGGAAATTGTCAACAGTAAGAGCAATATAAAAACATCTTGCAAACAAACACAAGGCATAAGAAATCTGCAAACACAAATAGCAAAGTCAAAAAGTATAACAATATGCAAGACAATTTTTAATGGCATATTTCGGTTCATTTAAAACATTACATATTTTACAAGATATATTTTTCGGATTATGTTTCATTTCATATTGGTGGCTTGCATTCCTCCGAGAGTAAGAGAAAAATGAAATGCTCGCCATGTTGGATGAAATTTGCATTGTAAATAAGGAAAATCCTTTGTTAAAATCATCCAACATGGCGGCTATTGTCTGGTCAAGGATTATTGTACAAGAAAAACAAGAATAATTCTACGTGACGTATCCTTTAAAGTTAAATTACGAAGTGGGACTTTTTTTTATTCCCACTATCGAATTTTAATGATAGCTCCCATGGCAACTTTGACTATGTATTGCTGGCACGCAGATTTAATCCCAAGGAAAGTTCTGCGAGCCAGCAAAACGTAATCCGGGCAAGTCGTCTACAAAACACCCATATTGAACGAAGCTGAAAATATGGCAGTCTTTCCTTGGACACCTTTATGGATGGATTTTGTGTGGTTTTCAAAACAGAATTGACGCATATTTACCTTAATTTGAACGTATCGATACGGAGCATCAGCTCGGCTCTTTCGACATGATTTTTCAACTTCAAATCACCAAGGTTAGTAGCATTTGAAGAGAATATGCATGGGCGCTTTCTATCCAAGATTATTTTAAAAAATGCAATCGCCGAGGAATCTCAAATTTCAAAGCATATTCGTTTCATATTCGCGCAAATGATAGCGAAGATATTCAGGATTTGAATGTGATGCGGAACTTTGACATTTGCCACAAAGTTAAAAAATATATTTTTGGGGAGAAGTGCTTTCTCACATAAATTTCTCTGGTGAAATTATCCGCCATTACTTTATTTATAATACTTGCCTACTGTGATGCTGTCTAATATTTCTGGTAGTGAATGAAATTTTACAACAAATCCTGACAATATACGACATTCGCAAAGAGTATTTTAAGCAGGTTACGACATTTAATACGATATAATGACATAATGGAAGGCAAAATGATAAGAGGACCAAAATTTGTATAAGGGTGTGATATGTTTATCTAATCTCACTTACCAAATTTGCAGATACGGCTGTTGTGATCAAGCCATAAGGTCCATTAACAAAAATACCACTAACAATCATGAGAACTAAACAGAGAAAAAAATTCAATTTAGCCATGCATTTGAAAGTATAATGTTAATGAATTATGACCGTATTGGTAACTGGATACACAGGGATTTGCAATGTTATTAACTATACATAACTGCTAGTCCACATTATTGTGCTTATATTTATGAAGCTACGAAAAAAGTACCATAGCAGAAGCACAGACAATGATTTTGTTACAAGAATTTTACAAAAAATTCAAGTCTACAATGATTTCCCAAGTTTAGCGCACGTCACACTTCGCCATGAATAGCTTGTCAACGAGCAAATAAATAAAATGCCACCTAGAAGCCGACGTACATACAAAAGAATGCTTAGGTTGAATCCCATACATAATGCAGACGATAGTAGAACGGTCAATGCGATACACTATTAAATGAACTTGTCAACTTGATAATGAGAAATAGTAAACAATAATGACAGTTAAGAACTTTGACGAAATATTACGTTCAATTGCACATTGATTGACCAAGAACACTCTAGTGAACGATGCGGATGAACGAAAGCTAACCAATTACACCATGTAACATAAAGAGTGTCATAATGTCTATATATTTCAAGTGAATTTGAATTTGAATTGAATTATTATTAATCATAAGGATAACGTTTGACTACAAAAATCGTCTCATTCGGTCAAGGTCGTCACTTAGAATTTCTTGATAAACGTCTATGTTGACATGCACTAGCACATCATTGGGCAAATGAAGTTTTACTGAAACTTTGTTGAGCATGCTTAACGGTGACAAATTTGGCTGCAACGTTACATTTTCTCGTAAACGAACAACTCGTCCAGAAATACGTTGAACTACAAACGATAATGTGGCCTGCGCTTGTCTCATAAATGAATCATAAAGGTAATATAAGGAAGAGTAATGAGCAATAAATAAATTAAAATAATAAAAGCAGTTATTTATGTATTTCAAAATACAAATTAATGCTACTCTAAATTCAAACGACACTCTTGAATTGATCTAGTGATTTTAAAAACTGACTGTAAAAGTTCCTAAGGTGGGTCAGATCTATAAATTTTCTGATAACAGGGAGTGTATTTTAAATGCATATGTCGGCGGGAAAGAAGCATGCTCACCAATTGGATGATTTTCTACTCACCACGCCCAAATATTCAAACACCACTTATAAAAAATAACGTAACTATTATTTCAACAAAACAAAAAGCTCTTTTTATAATTTCATGAAAAACACAAGTTGCAAACTCGAGTGGCATACAAATGAAAAAGTAGAGGAAAAAAGAAACATTTCATGGCATCGGTAAGATAACATTGTTTGTCATTCCAATATCTTCTGGTCGCTACCACGTAGCGACAGGAGATATATTTCGTTAAAGTTTTCTTACGACTAATTCTAAGCTTGCGCGATGTTCGTCCTGTCTGGGTTTTTCCACTCATTAAATAAGGAAAGTTATGAACAGAGTTAAAATTTGTTTCTGCCATAAAATTTTTGTTCAAGAAAAGCTTATGACTATCAGCATTGCCTCATCTGACAACAACTCACACTTGGTATGATTCCAGGTAATTTAGGATTTACATGGAATGCTTTGGTTACAATAAAGTTGAAGGCAGAAAAGCAAACAGGATGGAGAAGGGCCATCTATATATTGAGAGAGGGGAAAGCTTGTTAAAGTTCTAAGTCTAATTCAAAGCTGTTGGGGAGGGCAATTATTCAGATTTCGTTCTGCTGCATCGATGAGAATTTGTTTTTAGTATTCCCCAAATGGTAGACCTAGATGTCGTAAGGACCCGGTAGACTCGGGTGCCGTTCCTCTCGCTAATTTGTTGCAGTATCAGAAAATGCAAGACTACCTCAATACCTTACATTGATGTTTAGCAAAAGAACATACCTCACGTTAAATGGACGGTGAAACGTTAAAGTACGTCGCTTAAACGCAACAAATCAACAAGTTCGCTTGCTCCGCCGCATATATGTTTGACACTGTGTTTGTTGATTTTGTTTTTTGCGTAAATGTAATCGGATTTAATGGTATTGTTTGTTTAATAAATTTAGTGAATGCTATTGACATTTGTTTCGTCCTTTTGATTTTCATTTAATGGCATACATAATGAAGAGTTGTTATTAAATATGCCAACTTGTACAGATGAACGTATGTTGGCGCTATTAAAGAAATTAAAGGGATATTGAAATTGCTATCATTCTAACGTGTTCCGTTTTTGCTTATATGACCAGCAAATGCTGTAATATCAAAAGTTGTAATTTTATGAAAAGTTGACGTATTTTTGCAAAGCAGTAGGTGAAACTTTATTTACGCACAGAACTATTTCACTTAACTTATACGTACCGAAAAATTTAGATCTCAACTATTGAATCTATATATATATAAAGAAAAAAAGAAATAAAAAAACACAGAATAATTCAGAATAATTCTGCATGTGCATTAAAAAATCAACTGTATAACACTAAATACGAACTATTCTTCTCAAATTATTTTTAAAACACATCAAAGATTTAGAGCTTTCTTGATTGGAGGCAAAAGTTTTTTTAGCCACAGTATCTTGCAACGAAAAATATTTTTTTCCAAAGTTTGTACTAGGCTTTGGTGGTATGAAGTTATATTAGGCGTGTTTCGATTGATATTCGTGAATGTACTGGATTTATTTCAATAAATATATCTATAAGATAAACAGAAACTACACTGTTTTGTCCTTGACAGATCGTAGTAGCTACATGGTCGATTGTTTCTTCTGACACTCAAATTTTGTATCTCTAATTCATTAAGTATGTCAACTGACCTGTGGTCATAACCATGCTTTGTAAAAAGACTGCCCTATTTTGCAGACGTTGTAACTTATTTTGTACGACAGTTCCTAAGCAGCCCCAAAGTTGTGAGAAATAATCTGAAGATGAAATGAAGCGAGGTTGCACCAATGTTTCATAAGAAGCAACAAAAGTCTTCAAGTATGAAAACTCTCGTAACCTTCTTAGGATATAAAACTATTCACTTTTTGGTAAAACTTTTTTGTGACTGCCATAACAGAGTCTCATTGAGCATCTCGCTTAATGTGCGCGATGACATAAATAGGTACGCAATGCAAACATGCGTGTAGCCTATCAATTATATGTCCTCAAATTTAAAATAGATTAATGAACAGCTCATTACAGCTTAAATACTACTTAATTTGTTAGATAGACATTTGTTTGAGCTCCAAAAATGTCCTTTGTGCTCACTGTTCAGTCAAATAAACTTGTGGCTGTGAAATCGAATGGCCTTGCTCTGACTGCTTGTCACGTGGTTATTCTCAAGTGCTCTAAAAGTTCTGTCCTAAAGATTTCTCACGAATTTCAACGAAATCTTTATAACCATTTTGACTGAGTACCATGTTTGGTCTCTGAGCGCAAAACGACGCTTCAAATTATGCAAGTATTTCATTGTGTTCGTTGCCAAAGGTTTGACACATTCATCGCACTTGGATTCATTGTCATTATACCTCACGCAGTAGAACATAAAAGTTTCAAATGCCACAAACCTTCTAGCCCAATGCCCAAATGAGAAAACGATACACCAAATAGAAGCGATATATAGACAACTATATTACTTAAATGACAAAACAGCACTTTAATCCCCAAAAAACTACAAGTTTTGCATACTTTGTTCGTGATCAATCGAGCGAATGAAACGAGCAAAACAAGCTGCAATATTTTGCCGAGAGAGCATGCAAAGAACGCAAAAAACAATATTTTCCCTCAACTTCAGTACATCTGACTATCACCGAGAATAAAACACTTAGACACTTTTTCGATAGCAGAATATTTAGCATTTGCGCCTACGGCTACCAAAGAAAAACTGAGCACAACATATGAACAGTAAAAAAAAGAAACTTCGACTTACCAACATTTTTCAACAAAGAATTATTGCTGTAAAATCTGTAGATGAAAATCTACAAGAAAGAAAAGTTATACATAGAGTTTAGAAGACATGTGAAGCTGTTTTTCTTTAAGTAAAATGAAGACATATAAAATTGAAAGCTTGTTTAATCTTTTGGCGTCCTGGAATCAAGATTCGACTTCGCATTGGAAAACAGTGTGTGTCTCGGCCTCAGTGATTTGCAAATATGGCAAGAAATGGGCAGGATGTCCGAGAATGCACAGAGGGAGATGATATTCACCTTCAACTATTACTTTAGAGAACCTTGGAAAAGTCCTATCGTTTAGCATTTTATTCAAACTGGATTTGCTAAAAACACGTGCAGGTCAATACTTGTGGTTCACACAACCTTTACCATTGAGACTGTTGAAGCCTTTCTAACTTTATATAATCAACTGAATTTTCAAATGGCATTTTTGTTGGTATGTGTGTTCCACTATGAAACCAGCAGCTTCAAGATGTATCTTTAAAGTGCCTATATCAGGGTTAGGGAAATAACTTCTTTAGTTAGTTAAATCGATATTAAGAAGATATTCAATATATTTTATAGGTCGAAAATAATATCTTCATGGATTTTTGGGCCTAGAAGTGAATGCACGCCCGAAGTGACGTTAAAAGAAAAAACTCAGTTTTACTTTATAAACGCTTTCTTTGATTATTAGTTGAAACTGTGTCTTCAAACTATACACTTAAGCAGAGTCTTAAATTTGTAGTACAGATTTTGCAAAGATTTGCTTTACCAGTGTTTTTCTTTACAATGAATACTATGTCCTGAAAGCATGTGTTTTCCTTTTTACGTCACATCCAGTGCAGCGTCAAGAACAGAGACGCAAAGAGCCTATAATGCAATACTCGTCTTTATAACATATGTCGCAATTGCTATTAAAATCCATTTAGCTTTCTAAACAAGTTATATCCATGACCCTGTTATAGTCCCTTCAACATGCAAGATGAGTGCAAAAAGGAAACGTAAATGACAACATTGGATACAGTCCACAGCCAATAGCATTTGCTGTTTTTTGCATGCCCACCATCTGACAAAAAAACACATCGCAATGGCAAGTTGGGTTTCCACAGATAGCATGGTATTCGCATGTTAGTAATCCTTTGTGTTACAAATGATCGCATTCTTTCAAATAATACATAAAAATTTTCTTTTCTCATTAGGAACTTTATTGCCACTCATTCTCAAAAGTATTGGTTTTCAGCAAAATTTGCCACCACTTGATCTTCTTGGCTTCAGACAAAATTTTATTAAAAAAGGCGTTCTTCTCCTTGTGTTTAATACACTTGTTATCGTTATATGCTGAGTACACAGCTGTCTACAACGAAGGTGGTGTGCATTTAAAAAAAGACACACACACGACAAAATATTGGTAAAACTTTCAAGCCCCGAGCTCCATTATCATTTCATCTAGTCTGTTTTTCGAACAGCACTGTGTCGGATTCATGTGTTAACAAGCGAGCAAAAATCGTATTGCACAACTGTATTTTTACCATTTCCATAGAAGAATCCAACGACTTTGCAAAAAAGATGCGTGACATATCGGATAGCAACAGAGCCGTATTAACGCAACCTTATATCCGCAATGATTTTATCCGAATGTATCCGGTATCATCAACCTTCGCTTCAATAAGTTATGCAGCCGAATGAAAACTGCAGTTGCTCTCAATGAGATGGTAAACAATCATTTAAGTACAACCTATGGAAAAAACCATGAAAGTACACTTTCCAAGCTTCGTGCATTAGATGGCTAAAAGTCATCATTCCATCAATTTTCGCAACGCATAAACTTCAAGGATTTACTACAAGTACTATAAACTGGATTCACTCAGAAACTTTGGGTAGTAAGGTGAATTTGTGTATTTCCAAATCCATCCAAAAATACCGAGTGGATAAAATACAGTATACATCTGGTGCGTGATTATACGAGCCTGGCTGGCTTCAATGTGTCCATATCCATAAAGGCAAACATGGCTGAATCTACATTTTAGTGAAGTACGATGATGACGACACTCAAAACTCATAGGTTTTGACAAAATTTAGATTTCACATTTCATTGGGATAGATTTTGTAATAGATGCATCTTACTATAGTTTCTTTTTTACGAGATGTTTTCATAACATGCAGTGTTTTTAATTTCAGAATAAAACTTACCGCAGGTGCAGCCAGAACTAGCATGATAACGCAAGTAATTCCGCTACAGTTTGTTCGGTCAGAGATAACTCCAGCTACAATTCCCCCTATATTACAAAAAGACAGGCTAGACTTCGCTCAAACAGACAACGACACTGTTGACTAACATGATGCAACAATTAGCAAACTAAGGTTTTCGTCAAATATATTAGTAAGTAAAGATTCTATAATTTCGTAAAAGCACTATTGCTAATGCGCATTTAATATACACGACGACTTTTTTTAGAATAGACATGTTTCGACATCTCATGATGCCATCTTCAGTATGAGTGAGATAATAAGTGATACAAGGTTTATATACATGTAATATGATACAGAAATTACAGCAATAAAAAATAAATAAGATAAATTAATGGAGAGCGTCCGAGCGTATTATAAACTAAATATTGTATTAAATTTAAAAACTTGAACATTGAGGTCAAGGTTAGTTTTGTTAATGTGGAGTGCTTCTTTGATTTTAAGGGTGAATGAGGTGTCGGCGGTGTCGATGATATTGAAACTAGAGGGTGAATAGTTGGTTTTACAAGAGGTGTCGGTAGATATGAGAGTTTTTGTCTGTTGTGGCATGTTCCCTGATTCTGGTGGATAAATGGCGCGAAGTTTCGCCAATGTATCGGGAATTACATCTCGCGCAATTGAATTCATACATCACCATAGATTTAATTGAATCAGGGATTGGGTCTTTGAATGAGAAAAGGTTTTTGATTTTGAATGTGTGAAAATTAGTCGAATGTCAATACCTGTACAGAAGCGTTTCATAATGTTTTTAAGTCTGCGTTGTGTGCGTCGTGAGTAATGTCCGATGTATGGTAGTTTGAAGTATAGAGTTGTTATTTTGGAACTTTCATTTGCGTTGGTCGTGATCGTCGTGTCAGAAGTTTTGGTGTCTAGTTTGAGGTTGTTGCTTTGTTTGTTGTCGAGATATCGTTTTACGGTTCTGTTAATAAAGTGTAGTGGGAAAGAGTTTCGTTAAAGAGTGGATGTGATGTTCTTTTTATGTCTCGTTGAAAGCCATTGTTCGTATTGTTAAGTTTGTATGCTCTGTCAATTAGTGTGCGTATAAGTCGAGTTTTGTATGAAAGTGGTGTGAAACTAAAATAGTTCATCAGAAGTCCTGTGTATGTTGGTTTGTGATATGTAGATGTTGTACAGCTGTCATGGTATTTTGTTAGAAAAATGTCAAGAAATGGCAGATGATTTTGTTGTTCAGTTTCAAATGAAAATCTAATGTTTGCGTGAGTACGACTCGAATTGAAAATGAGTACGACTCGAATTTTAATACAAGTAAGGTAACTATTTTGTGGGACTATTTACTCATTCTTGATTTGTGCGCTTGTATAACACCTTTGTAGGAAAAGCACTTTTAATAAAGTATTTTCCCTCCCTCCACTTGTGCTTATCGTGTTCCCAAAAGGGCGAAAAAATTGGGTAGCCAAGCCAATTATGGCGAGTAAGTCATATTCTTTTGTGAAGGGTATGATGGAAGATGTCTGCTGTTTTAATGTAAAAAATGTACATAACAAGATTTCTTTACCAGCAAAAATAGTTATGTATATATCAATATTTATAATTAATAATAAGAGAATCTCTAATAGTAAAGTAGCCCAATTTTTTGTTTTGCTATGCAAATTCATTAGCAAAGGCACTTTTCAATTATGTACACCAAAATCCTTGCATAGCACAAATAAAGAATTGGTTTGGCTTGGCCATTATAATTTGTATTTATTGTTTATTTACTAAATCCAATTCATATTTTTATTTATTAGTAATTCATCACCAAAGATACTTATAAATATGGCTATAATAATTTAAATTACCATTATTGTTCATCAGCGAATTTAAAACCCTCAAAGACAAAGTCCTCTTCTAGACCTGGTGGTTGGAAATGTGCTCGAATGCAGCTAACAGCACAAGATGGTAATGGTACTCTAATTTCCTTGCCCAATACATTCCAACACTATCGAACCAGTTGCCTGTAAGCCACATGTCTTTGTCTTTTGTGTTCAGGTCCTTCTTCAGCTCTTGAACCATAGTGTTGTTTGTACTCACTCCATGCCAGTCGTAATACCCAATAATTTCAACAAAGATTTCGAAAAACAGGATTATCTGTAATACAGTCCGGAGTATCTATTCCCTCAAATTGTGCTGAGTCTTCATTCATTGTTACAACAGCTGAACTTCGTCGGAGTCGTCCATAGGCTTGTCGCTAGAGTCTGTTTTAATCGGCTCATAAGCATATGGTTGAATCATGTTTTGATCGTTAATCATTTCTTCGTAGTTTGAAACACTGCTTCCAGAATAATTACTAGAGGAATCGTTTGAGTAATCCGTATCCATTGCGCAAAATAATTTAAAAACTTAGGAAATAAAATGCAACTATGAATATGCCTATGCGTAATTTCTACTTTTGCTAGTATATTTTGTCCAATGTTGACAACGATTACCGCGCAGTGACGTAACGACGGAAAACCGCTGCTGGACTGCGGCTTCGCTTGCATGTACACAATGGCGATCGAACAAGAGGCAAAAATACACACATTTAAGGCATTATTTCTCGAGTTAAATTTGAATTGGAAACCTAGGATTTCGCGAGAGAGGTAAGAACAATATAAACTTTCATATGAGCGAAAGTTGTGTTAAGGTCTGACTACTCCTTTAAGAATGCGTTGTGGGGACAAGTAGCAAGGCTTCACATGCCGTCCCTGATTTCGACTGATTGCTACAATACGCGCAACACTTCCAAACTTCAAGCCCGAGTTTGGATCGCCCTGGCGCGAAAAGATATGATGATGATCAGTCTGCGTTGTGTGTGTCGTGAGTAATGTCCGATGTATGGTAGTTTGAAGTATAGAGTTGTTATTTTAGAATTATCATTTCTATTGGTCGTGATCGTCGTGTCAGGAGTTTCGGTGTCTAAGTAGAGATTGTTGCTTTGTTTGTTGTCGAGATATCGTTTTACGGTTCTGTTAATAAAGTGTAGTGGGAAAGAGTTTCGTAAAAGAGTGGATGTGATGTTTTTTATGTCTCGTTGAAAGTCATTGTTCGTATTGATAAGTTTGTATGCTCTGTTGAGTAGTGTGCGAATAAGTCCGGTTTTGTATGAAAGTGGTGTGAAACTAAAATAGTTCATCAGAAGTCCTGTGTATGTTGGTTTGTGATATGTAGATGTTGTACAGCTGTCATGGGATTTTGTTAGTAAAATGTCAAGAAATGGCAGTTGATCTTGCTGTTCAGTTTCAAATGAAAATGTAATGTTTGCGTGCTGTGTGTTAATGTAATTATAAAACTTCATGGCCTCAGTTTCGTTAGTAAGGCTAGGTTCAGGGGGGTTTGTTCCAAATTGGTATACCAACTTTCTAATGTAAGCCGTTGTCTATAGTCAGTACTTCCACGCCTCCTATATCGGGGAAACTGGCAGGAGCTTAAACATAAGACCTACTGAGCACAAACGAGCTACTAATTAACAAGACAAAACTAATCACATTGCCGAACATCACCGAATCACAAAGCACAACATTGACTGGGACTCGGCAAAATGCATTACTTACAGTACTGACTATAGACAACGGCTTACATTACAAAGTTGGTACACCAACTTGGAACAAACCCCCCTGAACAAATAACAGCAATTACCGGCACCTTACAAACGACTTATTCACAATACAAATAAACGATCAACTAAAAATATTACACTTATTCACAATGACAATACACAATTAACACCCACACATTACAACTAAAAACATCACAACTAAAAATAAAAATATTTCACTCCACACTAATTCACAATGACAATACACATTTCCTGTACACACAATACAATGACGTAAGAACCAGATAACACATACGGCTAACCTGACGTTTACTCCTCATTTGACTCCAAAGATGACTAGGGCTAAGGTTGTCGAAACGTCAGTCAACAACAACAAAAACAGTCCTTCTCAGGACTATACCAACCTGGACGATCTACATTTACAAACATGTAACGATACTCCCGGGTTGAAACCATTTACTTTAGAAATAGACACTTCACAGTGCTAAGTAACAAAGCACATTTCAAAGAAACTCTTAGATATAAACTTACCAATGATACCTCCAACGTCGAAAAATGATGACAAGTCTCCAGCTTTTCTTGAATCGTACCTAATTCCACCGATATCTAAAAAACACGCTGGAGTCGTAAAAGTGCCATACGCATAAAACTACATACGCAATAAACAAAACGACCAGGAGCGAAGTCATTGAGTTCGATAAGACCTGGAAGGAACAAAGGACCTATAAGCTCTATAAACAACTGGAACGATAACTTCACCGCCATCTTTGAAGCCAAGCATGACGCACTTTTGTAGATATGATCCGGGCCTTTGCACGGTTTTGTAGGTATAATCCAGGCTCCTGGATACCATACAGACGCGTGGTCTTGCTCATTTTCCATATTAAAAACAATGAACGATTTTAATTGGAAATTTTGCAAGGGCGCGCAGAGCCCGCAGTAAAGTTGAGATTATATGAAAACACAGAAGTGAGATATAACAAAGCTTTGTTCCTCACAACTCGCAATACACAGCTGATGAAGAGTAAGTTCTAAAATACAACTTCATAGTCTAATCACCTTGCAAATTTACATCAGTTCGTAATCAGCGACCAAATTACTAAAAGCTAATGACAATAAACATGATAAAAGTAATATATAGCTAAACTAAAAAAGACTACAATAGAAAGTCCTAAATAATGGCCAATAGAAAAGGAGCATCAAACAAATGTGCTTCCAGACCACTAATGTCCACGACTGAGCAGAACCACAAGTGAAAAATGACTATTGCTGAGGTTGTCTAAACATCAGCCTACATAAACATCAATTCTCCTTCTCAGGACTCGACTCACCAGGACGATTTAAATCTATAAAAATGTAACGATACTCGCGGCTTCAACCATTTACTTGAGAAGAAAACATATCGTACGTAATGGGAGAGTGGGATGGATTGTTATATCTCACTTCTGTGTTTTCACATAATCTCAACTTTGCTGCGGGCGCTGCGCGCCCTTGCAAAATTTCCAATTATATATCAAACATAGAAGTTTCGATATAACAATGCTTGTTTAAAGCAATCTGCTCAAACTAGATGCGATGATTACAGTCCCGGGACAACACTGCCTTTGAACGGTCAAAGTTTGGTTGAAAGTAGAAACGAGTGAATGTGGAGGCACCCGACCAGTTCACCATTTTCATGATCTCTTCCAGTGACACCCAAGCTACTCTAGCCTTGGAGGTTGACGCACCTCTTTGACGACCTCTTTGAATGACCTTAAATATAGCCATCTATGCCAGCGCAGTTCAAAACCGATTTGAACCAACTAGCAATCAGTTAGGGGCTAATTATCCAGTAGGCCAAATAGGTTTAAGCACACAGGACCGGGCTTTTAAGAGGCCAGTTGCATCTAGACATAATTGGGCTTTGGACGTTTTTGCTATTTCGGACTAGCTAAATGTGGTTAACTTAGATCATTTATGCTGTTAAAAATCTAACAATCAATTGAATGCAGAGAAAAAATGGCTTTCGTACTATCTATACTGTTCAAAAGCACAAGGAAATGCAAAAGTAAAGAAAAGCTAAAGTTAGTGAGAGAAATAAAGCCTAAAAATTTGCCTTGGCCTACAGGCACCATAATTAGTAATCCGCTACTGCTGGCAATTGAAGATGACCGGACAGGACGGTGAAGTTTGTGATAACTTATCAAAAGCTTATTAGGAATGTCAGCGTTGTGGCCTGTTCTAAAAGAGCTTGCTCGAACAATATAGTACTGTCAACATTGACGCACCTAAAGTTTCTAACACTCTGCATGTTCCACCAGGTAGTTAAAATTCTGACGCTTAGGCAGGGAAGGCCAAGAAGTTTCATCTGCGAAGAACGCTTTGGTACTGTGGTAGTCAGAAAAACAGATAACTTATAAGTCAGTAATCAAAGACCCAGACCAGAAAAACCAGCGCAGTATCATAGTTCCGAGATTGCCCTTTACAACGCAGAGTTGGGTGCAGATTTAAGACACCCTTTAATTAACAAACGATTAACGAAGGGATGTTGACCAAGTAGAAAAACAATCAATCGGTGGCGTGGACGCATGCCACAGACAAAAAAGAACAATAAGTATTGAATGTTCTACACATAAAACTTTTATCAACCGAGCCTGCGAGGAAACAGGTTAGAAACACACGCCCAAAGTGGGGCGATATGAATAAACCTTCTTGTGAAACACCAAACATGCCAATTTTCTGGGCGGAATTGTTCACTGCAGCTTTGCTTGGCTGCCTAACTACCAAGATGAGTTTGTAAACGTTTAAACAAAATCTATGCGACTGCAAGGATCGTTAAATATGTGCCATCGGCTAATCCCGTGGCCCCAATAGGAGGATGTTGCTCCGTGGTAAAAGAGCTGGATACGAAAATCAACTATTTCCAAATCGGAATCCGCATTTTGCTTATTTTTGCATACTTAGGCAAAAAGGAGAAAAGGCAGTGTTTTTCCCAATAGACCAGTTCTACCGAGCGGCCCTCCCTGCTAGAGGTAAAGGATCTGGTGTCCAAATGCAAATGAGAGGCAACTGAGAATGAACATTTGATTTAAAGCCCCATAGCTTATTGCCTAATCCTAGTTCAAGAAAACAAGCGCTTGATACAAGCCCTGACTGAAGTTTTGTCCATGATGTCGATGTGATTAATCCAATGGATCAATCATAAAGAGGAGCTGCAAGTATGGCCTGAATGGACGCGTTCAACTTCGAAATCAGCTGAGATAATTTCCTTACTGATACTTTGTTTTGGGCTAACATACACAAGCAATTGGTTTTTATAGCATCCACCTTGGAGTCATGGTCAGATTGTCCCAAAAATCCGACGAATTCCAGTTGCTGAGCTGGACTGAGGCACGACTTCTCGAGATATATGACAAAGCTGGAACTTTCCTACAGATACCATGCAGTTAATTCCATATCATGCTGCAGACCCTCACTGACTGATTGATACAAATAGTAAATAATCAACTAAATTCCGCTGTTTGACGAAGAGGAGCCACAACAGTTTTTATTGATATTGGTACTCCGAAAGGGAGACAATCAAATTTTAGAAGCTTGTCCTTCCAGTGAAAGTACTTCTAGTGATTCCTTCAGAATGAAGAGGCGAACTCGGGACTGGAGTAAGTCAAAGTTGTTATCCCTTCTAATTTGAAATGTTGGTACTGAATGAATGCATTTTGGGGTCAATAACCAGTTGCAATTCCCCGTGGCGTTATGAGAGCAAAAAATATTGCTTACAAACTTGTCTAAAACCGGACTGACAACATTTAGGTTCACCATTTTAACCAGTGATGAAGTAGAGTTTTTTTGGGTGTATTTGTTTCATTGTTTGTTTTGTTTTTGTTTTATTTTGAGCGTGAAAGTTCAACGTTCTTGAAGGCTTGTTTGAGCCAAAAGGTGAATGAAATCTAGCTTGTAACCCTCGATAATTCTCAAGTTAATAGAATCTGCCGTAATTAGACATGTTGGGTTTGTTACAAGTATGAAATCGACTTTGAAATGACTCAAAATTGAAAACTACATTGATGGGCATAATCAGTAATACTTAGTTTAAAACCATTTGCTTCATTGTTAGCGTTTTTAGCGCCAACAAGACTGTCAATCTCTTTGAACAATTTTTATTTTGCTTCAAAAACAGACTTATTGAAATTTATTTATTTGTATATATATTTTATTTTTTTTAATTTGGAATAGCCAGGAACAAGCAACTCCGTTTAGACAAGGTCGAAGCATTCCGAAAAACTTTCGATAAAACCTTTACGGCAATCTATTATAGGCACAATTTGCGATGCATTGCCGACTAAAACCACAGCTGAATGCAAACCAGCGCAGTACTCAAGGCTATTAGAGCCAAATGCCATAGTTCGGGTAAAAGACCAAGAAAATCAAACTCATGGCCAACAACTTTAAGCTGACGACGGTTAAGAGCTGCTTAAGTTGGCGACATTACACCTCAAGAATTTTTTGTTAAAGGAGTCAACTGTTTGTTTTTTTGCACTCATATTTGCATGAAGCGGTACTGCTACCTCTTCAGTCACAGCTTTTCTTTCGGTTTTAGACAAACTCTGAAAAGCAGTCCTAGCTGCTAAATTGACCATCCACACGGACACCTTACCGGCATTTTTAGATGCCTCGGGGCTTTTGACGAAGCGACGATCCAAAGAGTTCTCACTCGCTTGCCCGACCGAGAAAAATCAAGTCGTCACTCGAAATAGAGCTCAATATGATAAAGAACTCGAGGAAAATCTTCAAGATTTCGAGCAGCAGAGCTCTCGCCTTTTAGCTTGCTTATTAGATAGCTGAACAGACTTTGTCTATTTTGTTTGCTGAACTGCCGAGCAGTTGTCAGCTAGTTTTTCCTCACTCGCTTTTTTACCTGACTATTTCCTCGATAACTAAATGCGACGCTAGATTAAGGGCTAGCGTTTCCCCCTTTTAGTATAACCTGTTTCCGAAGTCGTTAAATCAATAGAAAAAACTCATCAGCTGTGTATTACGAGTTATAAAGGATTAAGCATTGATCGAAACTTCTGTGTTTGACATGTAATAGAAGTTGTGTTCTTTCATTTGTTGAGCTAAATAAAGCTTTATTTTACCAGAAGGCAAAAATAGCTGATAGCTTTTTTAAGAAAATGTAAATTTTGGACACTCTGATGAATGGGAAAGCTTCGGATGAAAGATGGCAAGTTCGGCGAAAAACCAAAGCGGTAATGTTTTCAAAACATTATTTTTCTCATTGTCCACGACGAATGAAAAAACACACAATGAAATGTCCTTTTTACATATATCTTACTATCACAATAATATTGATCTATTTAACCTGTTATGTGTAAGAAAAAACCACCATTTTGTCAGAAAACTAAAGTCTTAAATCATTTCAACATTTTGCCAACTAAAAACAATAATAGTTAACATCTTCAAATGACTGCTCGTTGCTTTATTCCTTTTGTCACAGCGTTTTTTTCAGAAAAATGAATGTGTCATTAAAAATTCTTTAATACAACAATCGTAAAGTTTTAAAAACACGACATATTCAAAGATGTTCAAACATAAAACGCACAACATATTGTGAAAACATGTCATGTAGA